AGGAACTACTAGTGATCTGGACCATTATTTTAAAGTGAAAAACACCTTAACTCCTCAGTAATTACAAGTAAATTAATAAGTTATTGAACATATTTTATATCTGACATACTGTACAGTCATGCATCTGTGTGAAGCACTAGTGATATTGTACCAGTAGGTCTTGTGGAGTGGGACACACTGATACTGAACTGACATGAAGCAGAGATCGTAACTGTGAACTAATTCAATCATGAGCTTCTCAGCATCACTTCTTAATTATTACAATTTTTAAGTGAATTTCTCATTTTTATTATTAGTCTATGTTTAAGTTTGAACATCCATCCTTTGGTAAGAGTAGTAGTCACAATTTCAACCTGTAGCCGACTTGTTTGAGGGATATCATATTCATAAATTAGTTTCCACAAAGAGCCCAATTGTAATTTTATTGAATAATTATCAAATATCTAATAAGTAACTACCTTTGTCCTAAAACTGCTACTACTTACTGCTTAGTTAATCGTGCTCCTCTATTAGTTAACAGTATTAAGTTAAGTGTTAATGTAGTACTACCTAGTACTTCCTGCATAGTTACTTGTTAACATTATTCTAAAGTGTTACCCAGATGCCTAATGCACAGAGAGCAGCCAGAAGCAATGCCATACCACTGTGACAGAGAGAGCAACTCACCATAATTCACCACTGGATGAAGATCTATAAACAGGAAAACAGTATAGATTCATTTGAAACAATAAGATAACAACATATATATATATATATACTCAAATGAAATTCAAGTCTTTCTTCATTCATTCAGACTTCTATAAGAGCATGGGTATGGTCCACCAAAGAGATACTGCATGAAAGAAGACTTGCATTTGATTTGAAAGGTGAAATACACAGAGTTCCTAACACTTAAATCGCAATGATAAAGAGAGCACAGGTCTAAACACGTCTGTCACACAGATGCTCCACAACATGCGCTAAACTGCGCTTTACCCTGCGCGTGGAGCTTCGAGACGAACATTATATCTACCGCACAGCTTTATATGCTAACCCGTGTCTCTGTTGTACCTGTCTGTGCCTTCAGGGCGTGCTGGGCGTGCGGCACACACACACAACTCCTCCGTCGCTTCACAAAGACGTCATCGACCTGCGCCGTGAGAATTACTCATTAATCTGCCGCTTCTGTTATTACTTCTTTATTTCGGACTTTTGATTTTATAAAAATAAACAAACAAATAAATAAAAAGCTGTCAAACGTGTTACGATTTGTAAACATTGTAATGCTTTAACGTAATATTTTATTTTTAGAATTATTATTTGTAGATTTTTGTTTATTCTAATGTATCCCCTGGTTACATATGTAATTCTTTAAAACCGATAATAATAATAATAATAATAAAAGCTGCTTGGCAATTAGTGCCTAGGAACAATCTCTGCATCTGAAAAGATTATATATTATATTACATTTATGCATTTGATTTGGCTAACAATATTCCTGTGTTGGCAATATATATATAATATATATAATAATAATTCAACAATATATAATTATATATATATATATATTTATATATATATATATAAATATTTACACAAATGTGAGGGGTGTACTCACTTCCGTGAGATACTGTATGTATGTATATATATATAAATAAATGAATTACAAAGAAAAATAAAAGACTGAATTTCAATTTATTTTAGTATAGATGATTATTCTTGGATATCTTTTTTAAATAAAATAAAATAAAATCTCATTACACTCTAAGAGGCAGACATGTTTTCTTCATGTTCTAGTGCAATCTGTTTGTTCCCACAAATAAAGGTCGTATCAGATTTCTGTCAGACAGGGCTGTGTAAATGTATACAGGCTTTCTTTCGCACTGTATGCGTTCAGATGCTCAACATACACATCCATGTTTTCACGCGTTACATTAAGCCCCAAAATAGGCTAGATTTGATGAGATTAGATAACTCTGCATCACCAGGTCCTCTGAGAGGATTATAATGCTGACCTGAGAGCTCAAACCTGCAGTAATCAGAGACAGCGGAGTAACACCGTTCATATGTGCTCAGGTCAGCATCCGCTCTCTGTCTTGTTTGCTGATAACATCTTGTTACCTTTGTGCCGTGTGTTTTGATTTTTTCCCCCAACTCTAGCAGGAATTTCATAGCTAAATGTCTGAAAAAAGCTCACTCACTGGACGTCAACAAACGACTTGTTACCGTGCCTGCCTAAAAATCCTCTTTCTTCAGAAACTTGCAGGACAGAATCCATGAACTCATACTTGGATACATTATATTTGTTTAATATAAGTACAGTTGACATTACACAGACCATATTACAAACACAACACAAACATTACAAAGCAAACAGAAGAATTGAACCACGTCATGTTTTGTCAGTTGTTCAATATCAAGCATTAAATCGGTTAAATCCCTCGGTTAAATCCCTCATCCCTCAACTCGTAAATGTTTTATACAAGCAAAACACTCGAGCAGCACAAAAGCACGCAATACATATGTACAATTCAACCTAACTCAAAAACAAACTGGCAAACATTAAATCATCTTTTCAAATTGACAGTCAGGAGTAAAACCGTTAAGTGTGCGAGATATAAATACAAAAGAAGTGTTAGAAAATCCAGTGCAAGCGTTTCGTTATAAAGGCACCAGTTTGTAAGGCTCTGGTCACGAGCTGATCTATTTTTAGCTTTTGTATTAAATGGTTATTAAACTTATTGGGTGTTACGCAAGCCCTTAATCTTGATGCATACTACTATATAATGTTTTAATTTTAGGTATTTTATAAAGCTCGGTTTAACACACAAAAAAAAAAGCCTTAATACCTCAAAGTTGAAGTTAGTTGTGAAGAGTTAATGTTATATATATATAGCCTAAACTGAGCACAACTGAGAGTTTTAGAAATAAAACGACCTCAAAATGTTTCATGTAGAACCGTTACTTTGTTATTTTCACGTGATAAGCTTTTAAGTGAATGCGAAATAATGCTGTATATGAGGTGACTAAAGCAGTTGAGACCTGTTCCCTTCAGTCCTGAGAGAAGGAATGGCAGTGCAGCGCCGCTCAGGGTTTGTCCTCCTCGATGGTAAAGCTTTCCATGGGCTGTCTGCCCAGCTTATAAATGTCCTCCAGCAGACTGCGCGGAGTCAGGATGTGCGTCGAGCCTACAGACAACAAAAAAGGCATTTAAACCACTGCAGAACACAGGCAGCATTTTAAGCATCTTTTCAGGTTTTTCAGGCTTTTCAGGCACCGATAGGGACTCTTACCAATGATGACCTCACAGGATTTATTGGCATGCGTGACTTCATAAGCACAGCGCATTTCTGAGTAGGTGACCCCACCCAGAACAAAGAGGACGAGCCGCGAGCCGCTCCGGAGGTCGTCCGGAGAACTGCCCTTGTGCTTCTGCCGCGCGCTGACAGGAGACAGACCCCATCCATGTAGCGACACGTTCAACCACAGGGTGCATGAGACAATAATTTATACACACACACACACACACACACACACATTACTGTTCACAAGCTTGGGACCGTAAGGTTTTGAAAGAAGTCTCTTTTGCTCACCACGGCTGCATTTTATTTGATCAAAAACGTTAAAAACAGTAATGCTGTGAAATATTACTACAATTTAAAACAGATGTTTTCTGTGTGAACATTTTAAGATGTAATTTATTCCTGTGATCAAAGCTGAATTTTCAGCATCAATAATCCAGTCTTCAGTGTCACATGATCCTTAATCATTCTGATATGCTGCTTATAAATCAAATCAAATAAACTATTTATTATTATTATCAATGTTGAAAACAGTTGGACTGCTTCAACAGTGATACAGGGTTTTTTCAAGGATGTTTTTTGATGAATACAATAATTTATACACACACACACACACACATTACTGTTCACAAGCTTGGGACCGTAAGGTTTTGAAAGAAGTCTCTTTTGCTCACCACGGCTGCATTTTATTTGATCAAAAACGTTAAAAACAGTAATGCTGTGAAATATTACTACAATTTAAAACAGATGTTTTCTGTGTGAACATTTTAAGATGTAATTTATTCCTGTGATCAAAGCTGAATTTTCAGCATCAATAATCCAGTCTTCAGTGTCACATGATCCTTAATCATTCTGATATGCTGCTTATAAATCAAATCAAATAAACTATTTATTATTATTATCAATGTTGAAAACAGTTGGACTGCTTCAACAGTGATACAGGGTTTTTTCAAGGATGTTTTTTGATGAATAGAAAGTTTTAAAAAATATATTTATTTGAAATGGAAATCTTTAGTAACATTATAAATGTCTTTATCATCACTTTTCATCAGTTTGATACACCCTGATTTACTAATTTTATATTAATTTCATGCAAAACAAACAAAAACAAACCAACCCTTGTTTATGTGTAATTCTTTAAAACCAATAAAAATAAATAAAAGAAAACTGCTTAGCAATTAATACCTGGAAACAATCTCTGCATCTGAAAAATATTATATGATATAAATATTCTTATATTGGCAAAATAATATAAGAAAGTGATTTCAAATTATTAAATCAGCATTTATTTGAAATATAATTATTTTATAACAGTATAAATTAGGGATGCACCGATATGAAAATTTTGGCCGATACGCCAAATTTTCTTATCAGGCCGATACCGATAACAGAAAAAATGAGCATTTATCGGCCGATACCGATATGGTGGCCGATATATCGTGCATCCCTAGTATAAATGTCTTTTCGGTCATTTTTGATCAATTTGAATAAAAGTCCAGAATAACAGTGTTCATTTCTTTCAATCAACCAATCGATCAATATTTCTGACCCCAAACCTTTGAACGGTACAGTATGATCTATCACATCATGCAATTAGATCATCAGCGGGAAATGAGAAGCCTTTAAACTTTAGGTAGGCCTATGTTATTATAAATAAAGCAACGCAAAGAAATGAAACTTAATGTGTAATGCACTCATAAAAAACAGCCAACAACCCAAAGGGCTGATCTTCCCCCTCGTCTTACCTCACCACTCTGACAGCCAGAGGAATGAAGAGAGAGACACTGAACTTTACACTCTACAATTATAATGAAACATTGGGGATTTACTGTTTCAAACTGATGGATGAGCTGCCATGAAAGCATGCCACAGCTGCTGTTGTACTGAATGTACAATATTGATTTACGGGTGTATCTTAAAGGAAATTAAGGTTATTAATTGGTGTAAGCTTGTTGTTATGTGTGACTAAATTGTGTGAATCAGTCTCTCCTGCCCTACCTTACAGCACGCGAGCCGTTCCACGCAGACGGACATTCAGACTGATACGGCCAGTCTTTGACCTCCAGTTTGTTCTCCACGGCATCCTGCCATTCACACACAGACACAGACACACAGACACAGACACAGAGAGACACACACGCACGCACACACACACAGAGACACAGAGAGAGACAGACAGAGACACACACACACACACACACAGAGACACACAGACACACAGAGACACACACACACAGAGACACACAGACACACAGAGACACACACACACAGAGACACACAGACACACAGAGACACACACACACAGAGACACACAGACACACAGAGACACACACACACAGACACACA